CCGAAGCGCAGCGGGGTGACAGACCCCAGCAGAAATTTCACGTAGAAACCCCCCCAAATCTCTCCTGGCCCCGAACGAAACCGTTGTCCGTGTCAAGAGCAGCGCTTCTGGGTCATTCTTTTGGCGCTTGGTGGCCTGAATCTGAAGAGCCTTTCCCGAGCTGAGGCGGCTCAGGGGCGCGTTGCCGTCGCGTTTTGCCTGTTCCGATGAAACCAAAAGGTCCCGGCGAGGCTTCCCCGGCCAGCCTGTGCCCTCTAGCGGCACGCCGTCCCGCCGGCGGCGCCTGCTGGGCGATCTGAACGCTCCTGGCCATGAACATAACTCTTCAGGATGCTCGAGAGCGTTACCGGCGCGTTCCCACGCCTCTCTCCGCCGTTAGGGCCGGCCATGGGGCAGGGGAGCGGCGGGCAGGCACGCACAGCGCCTGAGGAGGTGTCGGAGCGGTCGTTGCATGGAGTGGTTTGGGGCAGCAAAGGGGATTTGGCTTTCTAGCTCGCTCACAGCCAGCGAGATGAGCAGTTCGAGTCAAGCGGTGTGTCGTTAGCGGGGGTCTCAAGCTGCTGTGTGTAATTTTCGTCTTCCTCCCCTCACCCTCCCTCTCTCTCCCTCAGTACTCTCCGCATCCAGCGACAAAAGGCTGTACATGGGGGAGATCCAGTGAAGGTGACGAGGAGATGGTGGGATTCGGGCCCTCACAGTCCTGGGTTTACAGGAGTTGGATTGACTCGCTCCTCACCGGTGCCAGCCCCCCTCGCGCTTGTGGCGGTGGGAAAACGTTGGAGCAGCTTGATGGGACGAGCCGCCCTCTCGCAGGCTGCAGCGCCTGCGTGGTCTCGCTGTACAGCTTTTTTCTACACCCCACCCACCCCCCGGCCTTCTTTGGGGAGGAAGGAAAAATTGGAATTGGAAGGAATTTGGTTTTGGCTGTACCGCCGACTGTTAAACCCGCACCCAGAGCGCGTGAAATTGGTAACGTTTGGTTAAAGTCCGTAGGTGGCTGGTATGTTCCCTGTCCGGTTTCCCTTGTCTTTTTTTATATGGTCAAAACCGAAATAGATGGCTTTTTACAAGAAATGCGTGGATGGGATTTATTGTTCTGTTTTGCTTTTGTACTGTACGATACTAAGTCAAGGCCCTCGCTCGTGTATAACCCGGGGAAACCGTAGGCGGGGACTTCAGAGAATCACAGAACGGTTTGGGCTGGAAAGGACCTTAAAGACCATCCAGTCCCAACCCCTGCCCTGGGCAGGGACACGTCCCACACGAGCAGGTCGCTCC